TGCGTGGGCAGCCTGCCAGGAGCGTCAGGATGGCCCTCCCTCGGCTCCCAGGGTGGCAAAGGGCATTCATACCCAGAGGGGGAGGGGTGTGCTTAACTCCCCAGGGGCGGGGGGGGGGGAGGGGGGAGAGGGACAATTCACAAAAGCCGGCCAGAAACTCTCAACCGTTTTTTTTTTTCTTAGAACTTTCCTTCCCTCCCTCCCATCCCCCCGCTGGCTCCCCGCCCCCACCGGTCGCTGGTGGCCTGCAGCCAACACTGGCCACACTGTCCGCATTCAGGCCTCCGGCCTCAGCTCTCCCGGGCCACCTCCCCCGCCCATTCGGAATCACCGTGACCTCTTCCGCCCCGGCGCCCCCCGCGGGCTTGGGCCCCGCCCGCCTGGTGGGTCCCAGGAGGGCAGGCCGGGCTGTGGGCCCCCGCCCCCCAGGGAGACTGCTGAGTCTGCAGAAAGCTGCCTCCGCCCTGCATTCCGGGTGCGCTTCCAGGCTGGGGAGCTGCGCTCGCCTCGTAGTCCGGCCCACTCCCCCCCACCCTGGGCCCTTAACCCCTTACCGCCCGGGTCAGCAAGGGCCCAGCCTGCCACCCAAAGCAGGATGGGGGAGCTGGGGTCCCACACCTCCTGGCTGGGGAAGTGGGGTGAGCAGGTCTGGCTCCCACTTCTTCCCCCCATTTCCATCCACCTTCCCCAAAGCCCTGTCTGGCCCTGGAGTGCCTCCAGGCAGAGCCTCGGCTGACCTGATGGGGTTCTGGGAGGAGCCTGGCAGAGCGCCTCACAGGCTTTCTGGGTGGGGCGGGGCCCCGATGCCGATGCCGATGCCGGGGAGGGACGCTGGAGATGGGGGCGGGAGGGTCTCCTCCCCTTGGGAACCTGCCCAACCAGGCCGAGGTGACTGGGAACACCCGGCCCCACCAGGCACCTGGGCGTGCTGCGCCCCGAGGCTGGGGGCAAAGATCAGCAGGTGCCTGGCTGGTGGGACTCCGGGTGGGGGCCAGCCCGCCCCGGTCTCTGCACGCTCCCTCACCCTCCAGGAGCACGCCCTCAGGAACCCCCTCTCCTTGGCACTGCCTCCCCATGGACTTCCCTTCCGGGCGCTGGGTCACTCCGGCCGGCCTGCCGCCTCTGCCCTGAAACCAGGCCACTTGGCTCCGCAAGAGGAGCTGGGCTTCCTCCCTGACACCCGAGCAGGAAGTGGGGTGGGGAGGGGGCCCCCACGTCCGGCCCGCTGCGCTCACCTCGACAGCGGACAGCGAAAGGCACCTTCAACATCTCCATTTAATATGTACATTCAAGCAGGTAATGATCGGAAGCTTATAGTTTAGACATTTCTAGTAGCAGCAGTTTAGTCTAGAGAGCTCATTTAGCCTTTTAACAAACGTTTTCTTTTCTTTTTGCACATAGAAACAACACACCCATGTGTACGGTATCAAAAAATATAGACCAAGGTCACCGCTATGGCAGTTCCTGGGAGGGGGAGGGGGAGGACAGGAGCGCACCTGGGGGCACAGAGGACGGGAGCCGGGCCGACAGGAGCTGGCCCGTGTGACGGGGAAGATGCCATGATCTAGAGAACTCCATAAATCTAGGCTTTCATATTCAATATATAAATACCTACAAATAAATATAGATATATCAGCCCCATGGGGTGGCTGGGCCTTCGGAGCTCAAACAATACATTTCCATAATAACACCACGTACAAACGGGAGTGGAGTCTGCACTGGACACATTAGCAGGTTAAAATATAATACTATGCCTCCGAGGCCCAGCTGGCGGCTGGCTGCCGCGGGGCCGGGGGCCGGAGGGGGGTGGGCGGGGAGGGGGCCAGACCCGCAGGCTCCGTGCGCTCACACTGCGCCAGTTCCCACGGAGGCAGCTGGCTGGACGCCCCGAGTCCCAGCCAGACCCCCCCAGCTGGACACAGGGGGGCGCGCTGCTGCGGCTTCGGGCGTCCCCGGAGCCGGGGCCGGCCTGGCTCCCCTGGGAGTGGAGAGAGGAGTGGCACCCCTGGCGCTGAGCGGAGCTGAGCCGTGCAGCCGTCCCTCCCGTTACACCGTCACATACTCCTTGAACGTGACGGTGAGGCAGTTCGCGGTGACGTCGGTGATGATTATATTCCCGAAGAAGGGCTTGAACTCGCTCAGCGGCTCCTCGGGCTCCTCCTGGGCCTCGGCGGGGGGCTTCTGGGCCGCCGTCCCTGGCGCGGCCGCCGTCATTCCCTCCGCGGCCGCAGGCGCCTCGGGCTTCACGCGGAGGCCGCCAGGCAGCGCCCCCGCCTCGCCGCGCGCCTTGACGCAGCGCAAGTCTATGGGCTCGTCCAGGTCCGAGTCCAGCAGGATGACCTCGGGCTGCGGGGGCGCGGCGGGGGGCTCGGCGGCCGGGCTGCCCGCCAGGCAGGTGGGGGTGCTGACGCTGCGCGCCGTCAGCCGCTTCCTGCCGGCCTCGCGCTCGCCGTGCGTCTCGGAGAGGCAGCGCTTGCGCGCGTGGGAGAGGCTGAGGCCCGCCGCGTGGTGGTGGTGGTGGTGGTGGTGGTGATGGTGGTGGTGGGATGCCGCGTGCGCGCTGCGGCCCGAGTCCCAGGCCAGCAGGTCGGGCTTGGTGGTGAGCTGCAGCGGCTGCTCGCCGATCGCCGCCTCCTTGCTCGGGGAGAGCTTGCGGGGCCCGGGGTCCTGCGGCTGCGGGTCGCCGGGGCCCGCGGCCTCCTCCTCCCGCCTCTTGAAGGGCGCCTGCGCCTTCTTCTCCTCCGCGGCCCCCGCCGCCGCCGCCTTCTTGAAAGTCCGGTCGGGCGGCGGGTGGCGCTCCTCGGAGGCGCGCTTCTTGTGGCCGGGGGCGCGCGCCTCGCCCTCCGCCTCCCCGGACTTGATCTTCACCGCCTGCATGCCGTTCTCCATGTACTTGCTCATCACGATCACGATGCGCCCGTTCTTGTTCTTGTTTTTGACGATCTTCATCTTGCCCCCGATCCCGTTGCCCGCCACCGCCTCCTTGGGGGCGGGCGCCATGCCGTTGGGGGGCGCCTTCTCGGAGCCCTTGCCCGCGGCCCCGGCGGCGCCGCCGACCACAGGCTTCACGGTCCCCAGGTAGCCCTTGGCCCCCGCCCCGTGGGCCCACTTGTCCTGCGCGTGGCTCTTGGCCCCCAGGTCCGGGCAGGTGGGACTGGGCGCCTCCTTGTGGCCGCCCTGGTACTGCAGGTCGTACATCTTGGGGTCGGGCTGGTAGGGGTGGTGCTTCTTGCTGTTGAGCTGGTAGTAGTACTTGCTGCTCTTGCCGGGCGGCGGGGGCTTGCCCGCCCGCTCCTTGCTGTGCGGCTGGTACTGGTGGTGCTTCTTGCTGTTGAGCTCATACTGGTGCCCCTGGCCCTTGCCCTGGGCGCCCAGCTCCAGCTTGGCGCTGCGGCTGTCCGTGGAGGAGTCCTGGAGTCCGCTCAGCACATTGGAGCGCCTGGCAAAGGTGGGCACCTGGGGGCGGGCGGGTGGAGGGCGCGGTGAGCGGAGGGGTGAGCCAGCCTCCCAGCCCCCACCCAGTGGGCAGAAACCAGGGAGGGGCGGGCAAGCCAGGCAGGAAGGGGGAGAATGGGGTGCTCAGGAGGAAACACCGCCCTCCCACCCCCGCCCCTGCCTGGAAGCAGCTCAGGTGGCAGCTCAAAGGGAGACTGGGGCGGGGCTCTCACCTGCACCACCAGCGGCTTAGGCTTCGGGCCTCGCTTACGATATCCCATCAGCTGCTCCTGCCGCTCCCTGGGGGCGGGACAGAGGGCGGCGCCGTGAGCCTCCGCTCCGCTCCCCTCCCCTCCCACCTGCGGGGCGTCCCCCTCCCCGGAGCCGCAGGGCCGCCCAGACCCAGAGGGAGCGCACGCAGCTCGAGGCGAAAGGTCGCCCCTGCAGCCGGCTGGGCGCCAGCCTGGTCCCAGAGCCCCGCTCTCCACCGCATGGGCCCTCCTCTGCCCAAGGGGCCCCCACCCGAGGAGCGCCCCCACCTGAGGTCCCCCTGCACTGCCGCCCCCCACAGCCCTGCCCCCTAGGGGGGTGGGGGTGCTGGCCGAGCGGGGCGGGGCCGCTGGCACTGCCGCCCACAGCCCTGGGCCGTGGCCCTGCGAGGAGCGGGTGGGCACGGGGGCCAGGGAGGCAGGCGAGGCCCCAGAGGAGGAGCTGGAGGCCCACGGCCCTCCGCAGAGCGCGGCGCTAATGACCTCATTAGGATTCAGGGAAGGAGCGCGGGGGGCGGAGGGAGGGCCGTTCCCGGAGGCCGGGCTGACCCGCCGGAGGGCTGCGGCCTCGTTGGCGCGGCGGCGGTGGCCAATGAGGCGCCGGGGCGGAGGCCGCGCCGCCAGGTTCCCAGCCGCCAGGTGAACCCGCTCCGGGCGGCGGGGCGGAGCCACAAGCCCCGCCCCCGCCGAGCCCGGCCCCTGGTTTCCAAATTAACCGAGTCCACGCGCGACGGCGCGTCAGAGAGCGCTGCCTGGCTTCCGCCCGCCGCGTGGCCTGGCGTGACCCAAGGCCGGGGGGCGGGTTTCCCCAGCGCTGCCCCGTCCTCCGTGGGAGAAGGGGGCGTCTCTGCAGCCTCGTCCCAAGAAGGAGCTCATTTCCGGGCCAGAAACCCGTCCTCCCGCGGCCCCAGGCACCCCCTGCGGGTGGGCTCCCCCCGGGGAGTTCCGCCGAGCCCGGGAGCCCCCGCTCGGCCTGACGCCGAAGTTGCATGACATTGCAACAGCCGTCTCCCCGCTCCCCGGGGACCGTTACGCAACATGGCATCAGCCGCTGACATGGTTACGGGGCGCGCTCCCAGGTGGAGGCCGCCGCATCCCCGCTCCGCGCCCCCCTGCGTCGCGGAGGGCCAGCTCCCCGCCGGTGGCTCCCTCCGAGGGCCTGAGTGTCCTGCAGCCCTCTCCAGGAAATAATGCAAAATAAAAAAGAGGACAGGGGTGGGGACAGCGGCGTGGCGGCGCTCCGGGCCCCCCCCCCCCGTCCTCCCTCCTCGCCAGACCTTCCCCCTTCGGTGCTCCCCAAAACGGAGACCCACAGCCGGTGGGGAATCCAGCTGCAGCAGCCGCGGCGGCGGAGTGACAGCCTCTGTGTGCGCGGGGATGAGCCCGCGCCCTCCACCACCCCTCCGCCGCCGGGCAGCGCCCGCGCCCGCACCCTCCGGGCCAGGCTCACCCGCCGAGGAGCCAGAGCGCAGCAGGAAGAGCGCCCGCTGTCAGCCAGAGCCCGGCCCGCCCCCCAGCCTGCGCTCCCCGGGCCCAGGGTGGGGGCTGGAGGTCTCGCCAACTTCCCTCCGGCCCCCAACAGGTTAAGCTCGGCTCCGGCTCCGTGACGTCCGGCGGCTCCGCCGTGCCAGCGCCCTCGGAGCTGCCCCACGGCGCGCCGGCCCGGGCAGCCCCGTGGCTGCCGCGGAGCAACACCTAGGTCCTGGGGGTGGGGCTCCAGGGTGGGGCCCAGAGGGGCCCTTGGGGGCCCAGGCGCCGGGTCTCTGAGTTCCCTGGGGCGGCCGTAGGGCCACCCGCCCTCGCCCTCCCCGCAGTCCCCCCCAAAACACAAGCCTTGCCTTCTCTCCCCGCCCCGCCCCCACCGCCCGGCTGCAGCAACCGCCAAGGACGGTGGTTGGAGAAGCCGAGGCCGCAGCCGTGCCTTCCGACCCGCCTGAGGGAGGGGGCTCCCGGGCCCCTCCCGCTCCCCCTGCCCCCCTTGCTGCGTGGCCCTCGTCCCGCTCCCACACCGGCCCCCCGCGGCGGGCGGAGGCTGGGGGACGCTCACCTGTTCTGGAAGGCGATCAGCAGCCGGGGGTCCAGGATGTTCTCCTCGGGCTCCCACGTGTTATATCTTGCAAGGGGAAAGGGAGGGGACATGGCGTAAAAAAAAAAATAAAAAAATAAAAAAAAGCCGAGCCAGCGCCGCGGCCTCCAGGTGGGAATGACATAAGGCCCTGCTCTGTCCTCCTGCGCCCACAGTCCCTGCGCCGCGGCGCGGGGCGCAGGGTGGGTTTCTGCAGGCCGGACGCGCCCCGATACTGCCCCCCCACCCCCCAAGTCAAAACAAACAGCCCGGCAGGAAGGGGAGGGCGGAGGAAAATGAAACCAGCGTCCCTCCCGCAGTTGTCAAGAATGTGAAGCGTGTCACCGCGACACGTCCCACCGCCACCCGCTCCCCGGAGCCCCGCGTGCAGAGCGGCCCGCAGGCAGAGTCGCGTCCCCTCCGGCCGCCCCCGCCCCCGCCCCGCGAAGATTTGGAGGCGTTCTCCATTTGACCCCTAATCCCATCGCCGGACGCCCCGCCGCTCCCCACACCCCCCCCGGGGCCCCCGAGCCCGCTGTCACGGGCAAGCACCCCCCCAAATACTCAGCAACACAAAAATCCGCCTGTGTGTGCGTGTGCGTGTGTGTGCGCGTGTGTGTGCGTGCCTGCGCGGCTGTCTCCATCCGGTGCCTTCGCATTTTAAATTAAAAAAAAAGACACCCCCCCCTAAAGCCGGCCGCGGCGGCAGCGCCCTGCACGGGCTGCCTCCCCTCCCAGCGCCGCCAGCAGGGAGGAGGCACACAATTGCATTTTCGTCGCTTTTTAATTTTTTTTTTTTTTTTTTTTTTTGGTTTTGCAATATGGAGCCGTTCGGTGGAGGGAAAGGGGAAAGGAGCCATTTTCTGCTGCACATCAGCCAGTGCCTGCGCCGCCCTCCCTCCGCCGGCCTCCCGGCTCGGCCCGCGCCGCCGCCGCCGCTGCTCCGGCTCCTTCTGGCGCATAAATTAGTGATGGCATTTCCCGGAGCGGAGCCGGCGCGGGGCGCCCGGCCCGGGCTCGGGCTCGGCTTCCCCAGTGCCTGCCACCGACCTCCCCACCCCCTCCTCCGCCGCCTCACCCCGCCTCCCGCCGCTCCCCCCGCGCCCCCCCGGCCCCGGGTCCCGAGCCCCGCGCCGCGGACCCCGCGCCCCCCCCCCCTGCGCCGCTACTTACTTGGGGGACCAGCCTCTCCATTTCACCAGATACTCCACTCTGCCCTGCGGGGGGAGAGACACACTCCCTCAGCTTCCGCGGGATCCCGGCCGGCCGCAGCCTCCCCACCCCCTCCGCGCCTGCTCGCGGGCCGCTCCGGCCCCGCTCCCGCCGCCGCGCCGCCGCCCCCGCGCCGCCCCACCTTGCGGATCCGCTTCTTCTCGATGCTCTCCACCGCGAAGACGTGCTCGCCAACAGCTGGCAGCTCCATGGCCGGGCCGGAGCGCGCCGGGCGCGGGTGGCCGGCGCCGCCGCAGACCCCGCTGCCTCCCGCCGGCGCCCCGCGGCCGCTCCGGCGCAGGCGCCCCCGCTGCCCGCGCTGCCGCCGCCGCCGCCGCCGCCCGCAAGCCCCGCCGCCCCGCCGCCCGCTCCGGCTCCGGCTCCGCTCGGCAGACACTGAGCCCGGGCCGCGGCGGCACAAGAACTCATGCAAATCCGGCGTCGGCGGGCGGGGCCTCGCGGCCGAGCGCGGCGTCAGGGGGCGGGCCGCGGCCCGGATTGGCGCAGCGCGGCCTACCGGAGCCCGGGCCCGGGCGCCAGGGGGAGGGGGCGGGGGCGGGAGGGGCCGGCGGGGGAGGCGCGGGAGTGCGGAGGGAGGGAGCCTCGGCCGGGCGCGGGGGGCGGCGGGGAGGGAGCGGGACGGGGCCGGAGAGGTGTGCCGGCCGAGGACGCGGTGGGGTGGGACGCGTGACAGGTCTCCGCGCGGCCCCCGCCTTCCGCCCTCGCGGCGGCCGCCCCTCACCTCTGGTTCCCAGTGTGCAGCGCCCGGGGACCCCCGCTGGGGACCACCAACGCGCCCCGCGCCGTTTCCAGTTGCATCGGATTGCGTCATGTGCGACGCCCGCCCGGGGAGCCGGCGGCGGGAGGCGGAGGGGGCGGGCGGCTGGGAGGCCCCCGCGTGCCTCGCCACCCGCCCCGCGAGGCCCGGAGCGTTTAGGTTGGCGAGGGAGAGAGGAGAGAGGCCCGGGGAAGAGAGGATGGCGCCCGGGGTCGCGGGAGAGCGCGGGGAAGGGACAGGAGGGCGCCGCGGAGCAGCCAGCCGGGCCGCACGCGAGAACCCTCCCCGAGGGGCTCCGAGTCCCGTCGCACCGACTGGACCTGCTTCCCAGTTACCTGCGGCCGCTCCTGGCGCAGGGACAGGATGTCTGCTTCCCGCAGCATCGCCCGCCCTGCCGGCACCGGAGGCGGAGGACGGGAGGGGGCGCACGGACGGCCAGGCCCGCTGGACCGGGGTGGGGGCGGGGGGAGGACTTGGTGGGGTCCCAGGGAGAGGCATCCAGAGAGGGAGAGAGCGGTGGGAAGAGGCCGAGCTGGACAGGGGCGGATGGGACCGCACGGAAGCGGGAGGAGGGGGGAATGGAACGGACCCGGAGCCCAGCCTTCTCCAGGAATTCCGTCGCCCGGTGCGGGTCAGGCAGCTCCGCCAAGGCCTTCCCGGGACAGGACGCCGAGGAGCCCAAAGTGTGAAGTTTAGCACCTCGGCCGCCAGACAGCGGTCCAGCTGGGGGAGCTGCTGCCCCCGCGCCCCGCGAGGCCTCCCGAGGGCGCCACCGGGGGCCGCGAGCTCGGTGGGGTCGGGTCGGGGAACGAGGGGCCGCGGGGACAGGCCCGGGGCCGGAGGGGCGGGGAGGGCGCGCCGGGCCTGGAAGGACCTGGAACAGGAAGCTTGCGCAATCCCTGGCTGCGCGTCCGCGGCGGAGAGCCGGAGCCGCGCAGAGTGGAACCCGAGGGGGGCGGGCGAAGCGCCATCCGGGTCTCCGCTCCGCCCTCCGCGGCCGGCAGTGCGGGGTGGGGACTGCTGGGGCCGCGGCCGCGCCAGGGAGGGGTGGGGTGCAGAAGCGAACCCCCACCCCTCCTGGGAAGCCGGGAGAAGCCTGGGCGGCCTGGTGTGTGAGCGCACACGTGGACGCGCCACCATGTCACCGCCGCCTCGCAGCTCCTGCCGCGGCCCCGCTGCTCGGGCTGCCTAAGGCCCCGGCTCCCTCTTGGGGGTCCGGGCGTGGGCAGGGCGCGGCCTGCAGCCTGGGCCCTCCGAGAGCTCCAGGCACAATCCCAACATTCCCGGGGTGGGGTGACCCGGCTGTAGTCCCGGGGCGGGCGGTGGTCCTGGGCTGCTATTGAAGGTGGGGATGCGGGGAGGCACGTCTGTCTTCCCGCTGTGCTTGGGGCTTTCCCCGCACATTCCAGGACTAGAAGCTCTCGTACGGGACAGGGCCTCGCGTGGGACATCTCCCCCGGAAGGGGGAAGGGGAGGGTCCGAGAGGTGGAGCGGGAGGCGCTGTCAGCCGCAGTCCAGCCCTAGGCGAGGGCTACGGGGTCTGCGGAGACCGGTCCCGCAAGCCTGCGCCTGGGGCGGGGCGGGGTGGGCGGACGTTCCCGGCACTGCCGGCCCCCCCGTTAGAAAACCCCCTGGAAATTCTGTTTCCAGTGGTTGTTTCCGTGGCGGCCCGGCCAGGGGGCGCCGTCTGGGGCGTAGGACTCCGCGGTCCCGGCTGTGAGCGCTGGGCCCGCGCCCCGCGTGGCCCCTGGTGCCCCGACGGCGGGTCTGCGCAGGAGCCGGGCGGGAGGCAGGGCGGCTCCCGCGGCCGGGACGGCCTTCCCTGGAGCCGCCGGTGCCGGGAGGGAGGAGTCGAAGGGCTCCCAGGACTGTCCGAGGCGCGGCCCAAAGCCCCCCAGGAGCAGGGAGTCCTGGTCGCCCCTGGTCCGGGCCTTTCCGCTGCCGCTGGGGGGAGGGAGCGGGGAGGACCGACACCGCCGGCTCCCCGCGGCTCCCGGCGTGTATTCTGGAGGGAAGGCGAGCCCAGAACCCAGAACCCTGGAGGCCCAGCCTGACCACCCGCCACCTGCGGGTCCGGGCGTGGGGCGGGCTGGGTCCGGGAGCACCGAGGCGCCGCGGGGCGGGCTGGCCCGGGAGGGGCCTGAGCGCTGGAAGCTCCCTGACCCGCTCCCTCCGGGAACCTCCCGGGGGCCTCCCCTGCCACCCGGCGGCGGGGCCCCTCAGAGGAGCCGCGGGGAGCGGGGCCCTAAGTCGGGATTCCCGGGGCCTCAGCTGGGCCCCTGCCTCTGACCCGGGACGTCCTGCCCCCGCGGGGAGCCCGGGCGGGGCCTGAGCCCGCGCAGCCGACGCGGCCCCTCCCGGCCAGGGTCCGACCGCGCCCCGGGGTCCCGCTGAGGGACCGAGTCTTCTGGGTTTGGCCCGGGGCTGGGGCCCCCAGGGGCCTCAGGGGCCCCGAGCGTGGCGGGAGGAGAGGGCCGAGCCCGCAGCGTCCTCAGAACCGGGATGAGGCGGCCGCGGAGAGGCCGGTCCCGGAGGGTCTGGTCGGGGGGTCGGGGCGCCCCGCACGGAGGTCCCCGGGCCCCGCGCCCCGCAGGCCTGACTCCGCGGGGGGAGCGCGGGGAGGCCCGGCCTGTCCCGGCTGGAGGCCCCCGTTGGCGGCTTTCTCGCCCGGACGTGGTTCAGGAGCCGCGGAGCATTGAGGAGCCACGACTCCAGCCCCCCTCGGCCCCCACCCGCTGCTCCCCAGAGCCCGGCCCCCCTGTGTCGGGGAGGCCTGCCTGCCGCTGTCCTGGGGGGATCGGGAGGCGCTGTGGGAGCCCCAAGCTCCGCCTGCGCCCTCTGGAGGGGCGACTTTGCTCGGACGGTGCCCCTCCGCCCTCTGCGCCCCGAGTTTCTGCTCTTGTCAGGCCGCCCGCCGC